CACCCCCCAGGGGGGATGGTCACGCCACAATCCCTTCTCCTCCATTCTCCTCTTGGGATCTTGGGCACGCACGCACACGCGCCCAGCGTGAGTTCTAAGACACCGGATCCGGGACGCGAACCGCGGTTGACTACGTGGGAGTCCAGCGACATAGCCATTACGCTAACTGCTGGTCCACCCCATGCATAGTTTTTTATAGTAATGATTTTTTATGAACTTTTTGAAGCCCCAGCCCCAATACAATACAATTACATTTTAATTATTACTATTTTTTCTTTTTTGGAGAGGTTTTTTGCTATCGGGCAGAAAAACCGAGAGAGATAGCGAGATAGAAAGAAAGAAATCACCCCCCAGGGGGATGGCCACGTTGCAATCCCTTCTCCTCCATTCTTCTCTCGGGATCTTGGGCACACACGCACACGCGCCTGGCGTGAATTTAAGCCACCGGGCCTGGGACTTGAACTGTGGTCAACTACGTGGGAGTCCAGCAACATAGCCATTACGCTAACTACTGGCCCCTCACATGCTTTCTTAATTTCTTCTTTTTTGATTCCCAGAGATGCATGCTCCAGTCAGAGAGGAACAGGGAGACAGAGAGAGATGAGAGAGACCCTCAGCGGGGCCTGGTCTCCCAAATCCCTCCCTCCCCATGTTTCCGCTCTGTTGGATTTGGGCACACGCATGGGCAGCATGTTTCCAAACTGCTGGGGCCGGGATTCAAACTGCAGCCAGCCATGTGGTACCCAGTTCTCTTAGCCACTAGATTATGGGGCTGGGCCTGTTTCATTTTATTTATTTAAAATTTTCTTTCAGATTTTTGCTACAGGGTGCATGTGCTCCCTGGAAAAACAGACAGAGACAGAGAGACAGAGAGACAGAGAGTGAGAAACCACCTCCGGGGGGCTGCCCGCAGTTCCTTCTTTATTCTTCTCTCAAGAATTTGGGCACGCACGCACATGTACCTGATGTGAGTTTCAAGCTGCTGGGTCCAGGACTTGAACTGTAGTTGACTACTTGGGAGTCTAACAATGTAACCATTACGCCATCTGCTGGTCCCAACTGGGCCTGTTCTAACATACAAAAATGTCTTCATCCTCTCCTTTTTGTCCATAAGCTAGAGCCAAGCTTACTCGGTGAGGAGTTCAAGACCCCAGATTGTCTCAGGTCCAGCCACAGTAGACTCAGCACTACTGGACGTGGCATTCTCGGCACATCTGGGTCACTTCGCACGCCGTCTCACCTGGGGGGACCATGCCCTTCTTTGTCCTCCCTGGGAATGCAGCTACCTGCAAGGCCCAGCCTCAGCTTGTCTCTGCGGGGCTGTCCCTGAGTGCCCCTACGCTCAGGCACAGGGCACAGCCCTTCTTCCGGTCTTCTGTGACCCTTTACTCGCCCTGGCGAGCACAACAGCGGCCTGGCATCTGAGCACGGGCCTCGCTAACTCAGGGCCCGGCTCGCAGCAACGCCTGCTCTGCAGCAGGTGCTCAGGAAATTGGCTGAGTACGTAAATGATCGAGTAACCCACTGGAGGAAGGTCGTGTCCGTTGATCTTATCCCTGGTGATCTATGGCTGTCATCATCACTTCTGAAGAACTTGCTGGACCCAGCAGATGTCGTAGCGGTTAAGTCCTGGATTCCCAAATGGCCAACTAGAGTTGGAGTTCTGGAACTGGTGGCTTGAAACTCGTGCTAAGTGTGTGTGCGTGTAACAGGAGAATGGGGAGAGGGAACTGCAATGTGGTCATCCCCACTGGGGAGTGATTTTTCACTTTCCCTCTCACTGTCTCTGTCTCTCTCTCTCTGGTGAGTACACATGCTCTAAGGCAAAAACCTCTTTTAAAAAAAGGGACCAGCGGATGATATAATGGCTATGTCGCTGGACTCCTACGTAGTACATCATGGTTTGAGTCCTGGACCCGGTGGCTTAAAACTTACATGGGGCATGCGTGTGTGTGTGTGTGCCCAAAATCCCGAGAGGAGAAAGGAGGAGAAGCAATTGCGGTGTGGCCATCCTCCCAGAGGGTGATTTCTCACTTTCTCTCTCTCTGTCTTTCTAGCAAGTACATGCGCCTATAGCAAAAATCTTTCTAAAAACATAAACTTGCTGAATTTCAGGCCCCATGTGAAACCCTTTATAAGGGGTCTTTGAAAATTTTATGAAAATGCATATTATGAAAAAACTATGCGTGAATTTCAAAATTTTCCGTACCAGAATGGCATTTTAATCCATTTTTCTTTTTTAAAACGTGTCCATTTATTTTTATTTCTCCCACGAGTAAGAGAGAGACTGAGGAAGAGATGGAGAGCACCTCAACAAGGTTCCGATTTCCAAGGCATATGTATACATATATACACACACATACACATACACACACATACATATATACACACATACACACATATACACACATACATATATACACACACACACACATACACACACATACACACACACACACACACACATTGCCCTTTGAAAATGGCCGGTTTATACTCTCACAAACACAAGAACATGTTCATTTCCTTTGAAGCTTTGTGAACATAAATTATTACTTAAAATTAAAAATAAAAAATCATTTAATAGAAGGGCATTCTTAGAACTCCCAGGTGATTGGGACCAGCAGTTAGCGTAATGGCTATGTCGCTGGACTCCCATATAGTCAACCACAGTTCGAGTCCTGGACCCAGTGGCTTAAACTCACACCGGGCACGTGTGCGTGCGTACCCAAGATCCTGAGAGGAGAATGGAAGAGAAGGGATTGCAGCGTGGCCATCCCCCCGGGGGGTCATTTCTTGCTTTCTGTCTCTCTATCTCTCTGTCTTTCTGGTGAGTGCACATGCCCCATAGCAAAAAAGCTCTCCAAAAAAAAAAAAAAAGAAAGAAAAGAAAAAGAAAAAGAAGAAAATGAATGTCCAGGTGATCTTATGTTTATTTATTCAATTATTAAAGGTTAAACAAACTTAATGCAACAGATTCAATGTTCAAAATAGAAAATATGAGTCCTGTTTGGTCTTCTTCCTAAAAACATTACTTATAACCCATTTGGTATATAGCCTTTAAGAATCTTTCTGAAGACTTTTTTAACCTAAAGAAGTTACTACAATTATTATCATTGTTTTACAAAACTGCCATAGTCACGTACGTTTCTCTTATTTTTAACTCAACAACGTACCTGGCCGTCTCCCCACATCCATAGCTACACGTCTGAGTTCTTCTTCATGGATGCGAATGATGTCACCGCACAGCTGTAATGATCTCCTGTCGGTAGGGATTGGAGCTATTGCCTATTGTTTCTTAAAACACATGCTTATTCCAACTTTTTCAACAGTGCAATAGACACTTGCCTATGTGTACTCCGTATCACATCCACACACACACGCAACAGTTTTACTCTGCAAAGGGCGAATGGTTGACTCTGTTCAAATTGGCATATTCTGGATGAGCAGCGACGTTGCCCCTCAACTCCCTTCCTGCTCATTTCCTTTTACTTCTTTTGGAATATTCCTATATTGATTTTTAAAGTTTATGTATTTCAGTCTTCCATGAGAGAGTGACAGAGAGAGAAAGAGAGAGGGAACGAGGTGCAGCCCGACAGCTGCAGAGCTGCCGTCCAGTGTCGGCCGGCCCAGTATTCCAACTTTTTCAACAGTGCAATAGACACTTGCCTATGTGTACTCCGTATCACATCCACACACACACGCAACAGTTTTACTCTGCAAAGGGCGAATGGTTGACTCTGTTCAAATTGGCATATTCTGGATGAGCAGCGACGTTGCCCCTCAACTCCCTTCCTGCTCATTTCCTTTTACTTCTTTTGGAATATTCCTATATTGATTTTTAAAGTTTATGTATTTCAGTCTTCCATGAGAGAGTGACAGAGGAAGAGAGAGGGAACGAGGTGCAGCCCGACAGCTGCAGAGCTGCCGTCCAGTGTCGGCCGGCCCAGGTCGCAGGCAGGGCATGCCAGGCGGTGGAGGGAGGCCCTGGGACGCGGACCCAGGACGTCTCCCACGCAGGCCCAGTGGACTGCAGCTGTGCCGCCACCTGCCCTTGGGCGGGGTGTGCTTAGTTCTCACACGCTACGTGTGCTATTTTCCTCCAGCCTCTTACTTGCCTTTGGAACTTGTGTGTGCGTTTTGGCCACAGAAGTCTTTTTTTCTCTTTTTATTTATCATTATCATTATTTTCTAACTTGACCAGAGAGAGACAGAAATAATGAGAGAAAAGGCGAGAAAGCAAGGTCTGGAACTCTAGTCGTGGTCAGCCATGTGGGAGTCCAACACCTCTAGCCACCACGCCACCTGCCGGCCCCAGCCACAGAAGTTTTAAACTCAGGGATGAGGTGGTGTCCGTTCTCCCTGGAGAGACAGCGCAGGTGCAGTGTCCGCCCCAGCGCCGCCCGCACCTCCCTGTTGCGCAGGCAGTAGACTACGGGGCTGCACAGGGGCGTGGCCACCGTGTAGATGACTGACAGCACCTTGTTGAGGTCCGTGGACTCGATGCGGCTGGGTTGGGAGTACATGAAGAGAACCACGGAGTAGAAGACGCCCACCACTGCCAGGTGGGAGGCGCAGGTGGAGAGGGCCTTGCGCCGGGCAGCGGCTGACGGCATGCGGAGCACAGCCCTACCAATGGCCACATAGGAGGCCAGAGCAACCAGCAATGACCCCCAGAAAACGACGATGGCGGAGATGAAGTCCACCAGCTCCGTCAGGGCCACGTGGGTGCAGGACAGGTTGAGCAGGGGGGAGACATCGCAGAAGAATTGGTTGAGGACGTTGGGGCCACAGTAGGACAGGCTGGCAATGCATGCTGTTTTGATCACTGAGACCAGCAGCCCACCAAGCCACGAGGACAAGGCCAAGCCCAGGCAGACCTGGGGCCGCATGAGCAGCGAGTAGTGCAGCGGGCGGCAGATGGCCACATAGCGGTCGTAGGCCATGGAGGCCAGGAGCGTGCACTTGGTACCAATGAGGGAGAGGAACAGGAAGAGCTGAATGAAGCAGGCTGTGAAAGGCACATGGCAGGGTCCGGTCCACAGCCCCAGGAGCAGGCTGGGCATCGTCACGGACACGTAGCACATCTCCAGGCCGCTGAGGTTGCCCAGGAAGAAGTACATGGGCTTGCGGAGCTCACTGTGCCTGCAGACCAGGTAGACGATGAGCGTGTTCTCCAGCAGGGTCAGCAGGTAGAGAGCCAGGAAGACGGCAAACAGGGCGTCCCGCGTGCCCGGCCTCGTGGACAAGCCCAGCAGGACGAACTCCCGCACTCTGGTCATGTTGGCTGCCTCCAGGGCCCTCTCCATCTGAATGAAGAAAGGGGTAGGAACGTAGACGCCCTTGTCATGCAGAAGAGTCGGGTCAGAAGAGGAAGAGCTGGGGCCAGGAGGCAGTGCGGTGGTTAAGGCCCTGGACTCCCACAGGGCCGAGAGCAGTGAGCCCCAGACCTGGTGGCTTGCTTTTACACTGTCCCTCTCTTTTGCTTGCTGTTACTTTCTGATGATTACATAACAAATACAAATCATATTTAAAAAATAAAATTAAAGAAGAAGACTTGTGTTTGGGTTCCCTGAGGTTATCGTTGTCAGGAAGAACACAGAGAACAACTGAGAAATCGCGAAACTGGAAACAGCACACTTTGACCTGCACTTGCTAAGTGTGGTCTCTGGCAAAACAGCCTTTCCTGAGCCTCATTTTCCTCATCTGTAAATGGAGTTGAAGGCTCTCCCCAAGAAGCTCTTAGTCCTGGTGAATATTTTTTTAAAGAATTATTTCATTTATTAGCATTATTATGTGTTAAACATGACCAGAAAGACACACACAGAGAGAAAGGGAAAGTAGGAAAGCAAGCCTTCAGGTCTGGGACTCAAACCCTGGTTGCCCCTATGGGAGTCCAACCCCTTAACCACCATCCCACCTGCCAGCCTCAGTCCTTGTGAATATTAGCACGGCAGTGGATGAAGAGATTCTTTATGATAAAGTGAGAGATGATTGCTATCTCCTTACCTTGATGGTCTTATGTGGTCTTTTTTAGGTTAGATCTCTCTCTCTTTCATGCCATCTGACAATAAAAACAGTCCCCAAGACCCCCAGGGTCACCTGGACTATTTTTAATAAAGGAAGACTCACAATTTCCTTATTCTGAGAAGTTTACCTCTCTTAATCGGGTTGAATTTCAGGAGGAAATTTGCTACTGCTTATTCAAAAAAAGTGCCAGTGGGAATAGTTTTCTAAAAGGACCAGTTTCCAGTGCCTTCCAGAAAGATAACGTGGCTTTTTATAAAACAGAGAAGAAAGAGCGTGTGCAGAACATCTGGAGCTATAATAGCTTTGCTGTCCACACACTGGATCGTTCCTCCCGCCCACAGGGAAGACCGTGCCACACTCACAGGCAGAGGTGACCTGTTGAAAGGGACGGTTCTGGCACTGCAGTCTTTGACCTCTGTCATTATTGCCGGAGACCCAATGTACTTTTCAGGGGACGCGGCTTGCAGAGCAGACCACCCTCACTTGTGTATGAGTCACCCGCCCCGTAGGTGCCCAGTGCAGATAGCTGCTATGAGAGGTTGCTACGTACCAGGGCTCTGAAATCCAACGGCAACTGGAACTGAGGTCGGGGCCTTCCGGAGTTTATTTTCTGTGTAGTGAGAGTCAGAGGACACTAAAGAACAAGTACAGAAATAAAATTTCAGTGGATAAATGCTAAGAAGAAAACCAAGACAGCTGTGTTGACAACATCTGCAGGAGGCTGTTCTGGGAGATGGAATCAGAGAACTCCCCTCTGAAAAGGGAGGTGACATTCACATCTACCCTCGACTGATGAGAAAGAGTAAGACCAATATGAAGCTGGTCGAAGAGCACTCTAGAAGGAGCAGGAAAGTTCAAGGGGAGTCCAAAACGTTTCTGGGAAAAGGGAATTAAAATATAAATTAATTCTGGTGGAAAAAAGTGAAATCCACTTATACTTTTGTCTGTAACATGCATTTTCTATGGGCATTTTAAAGGCTCCTTGTAAGCACAAAAACCTTGAGTCAGGAGGAAACTCAGCACCTTCGAAGGAAATAAAATCCAGTGTGGCTGAAGGATAGAGGAGAGAAGAAATCAGGTTTCCTTCCAACCGTGTGTTGAGAAAATTCTGCCAATATCTACCTGCATGTTCACCCCAATATGCTAAGTCTCGTATATTATTCTAGCCTGTCAGCTAACTGTTCACAGGGAAAATTGGGTTTCAGAGATAAATGGTTGGAGCAGAGAAGTGGAATAGAGTCCAGAAACTCATGCACATGCACTCACTAACATGACTTACGACATTATTTGCATTATAGATCAATAGGAAAGGGGATACACTTTTCAGTTAACAGTTCTTGGATAATTAGCTATCCACACAGCAAAATTAAAAGATGTAGAAAACCTAAATCACACCACATGCACATATGCAAAAGAAAATCAATTTCAGGGAGCTAACATATAGATTTGAAGGAAAATCTCTGTAATTTTAGAAAAACACATGGAAGCATATTGGACACGTGGGGTCTGGCCCCGAGGCCCAGTGCTATAAGGCCGGCCCCAAGGTGAACTTTCCAAGCACTCCTCTTACTCCAGTGTCCTTTCCCCTTCCCTGGAGGTGATGGTGGTCACCATTTCCTATAGGTCCTTCCCGAAGTTTTGCTAACACTGCCATACACTTCGTACAAGTCCTCATCCCAAACACAGGCAAAATCACGCATCACGTATACCTACAAGATCACTTTGAATCTTAACACTGCACTCTTTCTCATGTTTGAGTGTCTTCTCCATCATTCATTTTAGTATTATTTTCCCCTTGAAAATGTTCAAACTTGGGACCAGAAGTTGGCGTAATGGCTATGTCGCTGGACTCCCATGTAGTTGACTGTGGTTCAAGTCCCGGACCCGGTGGCTTAAAACTCACGCCGGGCATGTGTGCGTGCGTGCCCAAGATCCTGAGAGGAGAATGGAGGAGAAGGGATTGCGGCGTGACCATCCTCCCCCTGGGGAGTGATTTCTCGCTTTCTGTCTCTCTGTCTCTGTCTGGTGAGCACACGCACCCTATAGCAAGAACCTCTCAAAAAAAAAAAAGTTCAAACTTCACATGTCCAAATTAAGGAAAAAGGATGAGTGTTTCCACGTCTGTTGGGTTAAGCAAAGAAAGACAAGCTTGTTAAGATGGTCCATTTCAAGCAGCAGACGATGAAGCGCTGAGCAGCACGCATGCGATCAACTGTTAGTCCTTGCTATGGTTAGTGGACTTACAGTCACACGAAAGTAGTTTAGCACAAGGTGGAAGGCATGTTCTTGGTGGAAACTTCCACCTCGGAGCTTTGGCACAGTATTTCGTACTTCAGATGAGCAGAGGCTCAGAGTTGGTGTTTCCAGGCCACTTCTGTGTCTGCTGGGCAGATGCTCCTCTTCCACGCCTGGCTGGTTCTGCTTTCCTCAGTTCTGAGTCAAAGGCGTTGGGGTGACGTTACCCGTAGTGCTGAAATGGATTCCCGCCAGTGTCCTGCGATGGGCTTTCTCCTTGGCTGGCCTAGATGTGCTTCTCCCATGGCTTGGACCTACTCTCCTTTCTCGTCTCACTGCTGGTTATGGACTGAGCTTCTGCTCTGGGGCTCACTGAGCTAACTTGCCTCTCCGACCAGCATCGCATGTGGAATGGCTCGGATCAAGCTGCTGTATCTTAAAAGGTCCTGGACTATCTGGGAATGATTTAATTTTGAGTCCATTCTATAAACGTTTGTCACACCAATTGTGCCCAGAGTGTAAAATATGTCCATGACCAACCTGGCTTCCACAGAGAAGTCTGTGCCCAGCAGCAAGCCAGCTGAGGGACAAGATTCTTCACCTTCTTAAGCTTGAGCTGCTTACTAATTAAGATGACTATTGCTTTCAGGGATTGAGGTACTATGTAGTTATAGCTTCCCATCTTATGTGACGTAATATAGTTCAGTGACTCAGCATCTTAACTGTGACCCACAAAAACAAAAACACTTCAGGGGCCAGTAGGTGGCATGGTGCTTGAGGCGTCAGAGTTCCGCATTAGCAACCGCAGTGCAAATCCTAGACCCTGTGACTTGAAACTCATGCTGTTGTTTTGTGTGTGTGTGCATACCCGAGATCCTGAGAGGAGAACGGAGGAGAAAGAATTGGGGCATGGCCATTCCCCTTGAAGGGTGATTTCTCATTTTCCCTCTGTTTGTTTCTCTCTGTCTCTCTCCAGCAAGCACACACACTATGGCAAAATAAATAAATAAATAAATAAAAAAGAAAGAAAAGAAAAGAAAAACACTCCACGTTGTGACCTAGTGACCACAACACACACATACTACATACATGACTGAAATAACAGTTTAACGAAACATCTAGCTTCACGTTATGCGTGGCACTTGCGTTCTACTCTGTGTCATTTCAAGTATTACAATCATCTCAATAAACCTGACTTTGTGACTCACAGTTGGGAACACACTGTCATCAGCTTATAAGTGGAGATTTGGAACAGGACAGAACTGGCTCTCCTGGGCTGTCTGTGACGAACTTGCAACCTTAGACAAGGTAGGGGAGTCTCTGACCTTTCGGGCCTCATATCTTCACCTCCAGGGTGGAGAAAACTCTGACTCCGTGCAGTTGTCATGGAGATCAAGGCAGCAGATTCTCCATGGCACCCAGGCAGTGTCATGGGGAGTGTCCTAGGAGTCAGAAGACTTTTCTTGTCCTTTGCTTTTTCTTCCCCAAATCTAGGGATCTTACTTTCTTACCTCTCGGCGAAGGGGAGACAGGTGCTGATTTTCCATCCTGAAGGAAGCTATGGGGACCTGCAAGGTCCAGCTTCTGTCCTGGACGTAGGCATAGATGCTGTGACCGGAGCTGGCCAGTGGGTTCGAGGACCTCCTAGCTCGGTCACAAGGAAGCAGCTGTCTGTCCTGAGCAAGGGGCCCTCCACTGCCTCTGCTCCTTTCTCCACCTCTGTGTTCCCTGAGCTGCGTGGGAGTGCTGTCCTTACAGCCAGCTGTGAGCAGAGGACCAGCTTAAATCTGAGAGCTGGGCCGCTGAGGGCTCTGCTGATCTCTGTGGACTTAGAGAAAAGAGCAAAGTGAAAGGTTTTTATAAAAGCGTATGGTGTTTGGGAAAATGACTTAAATGTAACGTTGGTTCAAATAAGTTCTAAGATAGCGTGAAAGCCCAGGTAAGTGCCAGGCTCATGTCAGATGCTGGCAGTACAAAGACATCTTCTTCCCGCTGCGTGATCACTATTTTAACTCTCCAGTCTGGCATTCAACAGAAAGCATTA